CGTACTTGCATAACTTTATAGGAGCTATTAAAAACCCTATCTCAACAAATTCGTTTTATTTACATAAGGCCGACAATTACGAAATAAACGACAATGATATATTGTATTACAAAACGAAAAATAGACAAATCCCTTAGGATTAGGAGTAAGTATTATTGGCCAAAAATGAGAAAAGATATAAAGTCATATGTTCTGTCATGTGAAAAGTGTCAAAAGAGGAAACGATATAAACAAAGTAAGCCACCGAAAGTAGGGAGATACGATTTAGACAAGTGTGAAATGAAGATTATGAGTGAAATAATTATTGACTATGTTGGTCCCCTTCCAAAGTCGAGATCTTATAAGTATATTTTAGTAGCTACTGATCGTTTATCAAAATTTTGCGTAGCTCAACCATTTACAAATGCCAATGCGCGTAGTACCAACAAATTTCTTTTAGACTTATTCATAAGATTTGGTCCAGCTAGGATAATTAGGTCAGATAATGGAACTCATTTTACATCAAAGACAATTTTTGGACCTAATGAACGCTTTTGGGGTAGACAAAAAATTCGGAATTCCGTATAAGCCTACTTCACAAGGTCAGGTGGAGAGGCAAAATCAAACAGTTATAGACATGATATCACATTACGTTCAGGATAACAATAAGTGGGTAAATTATTTACTGTACGTTGTATACGCCTATAATACTTCAATACATTCAGTTACAAATTATACGCCATTTTATTTAGTTCATGGCTATAATCCTAAGAGCATGTTTAATATTGCACTAATTCCCCCTTCCGATGGAAACGTTATCGATGAAATTAATAAAATCAAACATATTAGAAAAACATTACCCCAATTATTAGAGAAACAATCCGAACAGACTAAACAAAAACTATTATCATCGAATAATTTTCAATCGTTTAAAGCGGGGACAAAGTCTTAGTCAAAGTCCCGATAAAGGGTAATAAATTTTCAGATAGGTATGAAGGCCCTTATGTTATTTTAAAGAAAATAGGTCTATATAGTTTTTTGATAAATCTGCCAAAAAACAATATTTTGGTCGAATCGCCTGTTCACGTAGACCAGTTAAAACAGTTCATTTTTAGAATATAAAATTCCGTCAAAATCTCAGGTCGGGCCCATCACTAAAATATTAGATAGACAAAGTAGTAAAAGGAAGATTTGAAGAAAATTTGAGATTTTGGCCGCAATGTAGGATTAACCACAAATTGTGTCATATGTATTATAATTGGAATGGAACTATACAAACACTTATAAAATGGGAGCCCGGTATGGTTTAGGGGTTCGGATAATCTATTTTTAATAGTCAAGCAAAACAGATTAAAACTAATAAGAAGGTCTTTAAATTTTTATTATTATAATTCATTTTCTGCCATTCTGAGAATCTTTCCGACAGGTAGGGAGCGCGTATTCAGAATAACATGTCTAAAAAATCATACGTAAACAATTTCGAACTAAGGGCGTTATGCCTACTCCTTGGTATAGACAGTCTTGCTGCGACAACGATCACCAACGCTCACTGAGATTTTACTGTAGTATTATAGTGCGATTTCTAAAAATATTATTAACTTCAATTATATTCAAATTACATAAATATATTCTACACCCTTGAGTGTCGTGCAACCGAAGTGCTCGATTAAATAATAACATTTAATTGGATTAACCTTTACTTAGGTACAAAAATTTATTATAATGGCTTTTAGGAAAATTTTTTTACTAATACTAACAGTTTTGTATCCCCGTGGCAACTGTAAAGATTTCTCCATAATCCCTATCGATTCCTTAGGTATATATTTCGAAACCCTAGACACAATTCAGTTTTCAAAAGACACTTATAAATTACTTATATTTGTAGATATCATAAATTATGAATCGAAATTTTTGCAAATACATTCAATTAATTACCAACTAAATAAAATTTGTAACGACCATAACAGTTCGAAAAGTGTTTCATTAATATGCCAAGATTATGACACTTTGAATAAATATAATATTTTAGAAATGGATAGGCATTGTCATAACTTATTGCAACTAAATGATAGAAGATCTAGACGGGCATTAATTAATATAATTGGGAATTTTAATAGATATGTATTTGGTAACCTTAATGAGGATGATCTTAATGACATTAATAACCATCTAAATAATAATTCTGACCAAATAGCCCAAGCATTGAAACTACAAAATCATCAGACAATTATTATGCAATCCAACCTCAATATTATAATAAATTTCAGTGGTATACTGCAAAATAACACATTTAATTTAAGGCATAGCATTAACTCTTTGATTGACGCACAAAATAATGTTACTTCGAAATTTTCCGAGCTAGAAAACGAACAAACGTTACAACAACATTTCGCTATTTTAAACCTAATCGTTTCAGAATTCAATCTAGAAACTAATGACCTCATTTCGGCAATATATATGGCACGCCATGGCCAAATTCATCCAAACGTGCTAGACCCTGTTACCTTAATCTCTCAATTACAATTTATAGAACACAACCTCCCAACTAACAAGCAACTTCCAATACAAATTAAGGATATTAATAACATTTTTGATTTAGTCAATCTAATGAAATTATCGATCGCGTTTATGGATAACAAATTGATTTATAAAATTTCGATACCCATCTGCGATACAGTAAAATATAACTTAATACAAACAATTCCTTTACCCATGTATATCGCTAAACATCAATTCGTTTTAATCCAGCCGACTTATCAATTTATAGCCGTCTCTGCAGATAACGAGACTTTCATCCCATTATCAGAAAAAAACCTGGCCGATTGTCATACAAATAAATTTCATACAATTTGCGAATTTCCACCAATATCAAACCGAAAACGCCTAACTGTGAGACACTTATTTATTTAAAGCCACATATTACTCCTGAAATATGTAATATTAAACACATTTCCTAAAAATTCGAGAGCTTCCATAAATTGCATTCACATAACGCGTGGATTTATATGACACCTGAGTCCATCGAAATAACCATAATATGCGGGGGAAATTCATACACGCAAGAATTAATAAAAACCGGAATTTTAACGCTAAAGGCGGGGTGTCTAGTTCATACACCTAATAACATCCAAGCAACACACACATTCGTTAAACAATCATTCCAAACAAATTTCGTGCCCCAATTAACATTGTCAAACAATAGTTTGTTTTTACCGAAATTTAACAAAATCAATAATTCACCGGCTGTTGAATTTCAGAGAGGGTATCTAAACTAAAATTTAAGACATGAACACTCTAATTAATTTGAAAAATTTACTTTATTAAACAGGAAGTCGGTCGCGCGCTCGTCGATTCGACTGGAACTGAACGTTATCTACATTTACAATAATAATATCCCTACTTAGTACGTAACATACCGCCCGGCATTTTACAATTGCCGTAAAATAATACAAAAAAATTTTAAATCAGTTTAGCGACAAAATTTTACAAAAAAAATATTTAGGACTTATTGTCCGAAAAAAAAAAAATTTAATAAATCAATAAACAAATCAAATAATTGATCAATAAGAAACAGGACCTTAATAAATTTACACACAATCAACGCTCAATTTCTTATAACTAAATAAACATGACAAGCAAAAATTTTTTTTTTACATGACTTAATAGATGAATTAATTACTTAAACAATAATATATAAAATGACTTTAGCAAATCAAAATTAATTCATTGATAAATTAAATACACAATAATATATAAGTTGATATTGACAAATCCAAATTTATCAAAAATTATTTTTTAAAAAAAAATTACTCATCTTCTATTTGCAAAGGACATACATATCTAACGGCCCTTTTAAGCAAACCAGTTTCCGTATACAATTCTACCACTCGAGTCACACCATCCGTTCCAGTGAAAAGTTCATTAACACGTCCCATATGCCATTTGATTGGTGGTACATTATCTTCTTTAATTAGAACTAGCATGTCCTTTTTTATGGACAAACATTGAGGGGACTGCCACTTTGTTCGTCCTTGAAGTTAACTCAAATATTCTGTACTCCATCTCGACCAAATGCGTTGAGTTAATTGAATTGTTAATTGCCATATTTTGAGTCGATTGGATGGAACCATCGATAAATCCTTTTCAGGCAAACTGGTTAACGGTCCACCCCCCAAAAAATCACCTGGAGTGAGAACCCTTAAATTCGTTGGATCCGACGACAAAGGTGTAAGAGGACGAAAATTTAAGCACGCTTCTATACGAATAAGAACAGGTTCATTTCTTCGTACGTCAGACAAACATCTCCAAGTTGTCGGACAAGATGATGTTTAACAGATTTTACGGCAGCTTCCCATAAGCCCCCGAAATGAGGTGCTCTCGGCGGAATAAAATGCCATTGAATGCCAAGCTCCGCTGTAAATTTTCTTATTTTTTCGATGTTCTCCGGAGAAGTTAAAAATTTGCTCAATTCAATTAATTGTCGATTTGCACCAGTAAAAGTAGTAAAAGTACCTAAGTATTAAATTAGAAATAAATGACTTAGGATGTAGTACGATTGGATTTCTTTGTTCATCACTGATATGAGTTGACTTATTTAACCGACCGCCTACTCTTAACACATTATTTTCATCTAGAAACGGAAGCAGTCGAACTAATTTGCCATGCTGCAAAAGTTTTTTACTTTGTAATATTTTAATTTCCTCTGAAAAATAATTTTTCTGTTCCAATTCATTTAAAACAATTTGAGCCTCTTGAATATCCCATACATCAATAGAGGTTGAAGGATAATGTTTTTTGCGAATTGTCTTATTAAACCACCGCAAACAATAGCATGTCACACGACATAATTTCATTCATGACGAATAACGATGTATTAAATTAAAATTTTCCATACCTGTTGTTGTAACGGTTATCATCACCGAATTTCTTTGTTCAGGTACTTCCTTAGGTAGAGGCGGCGCTTCTATCGTACTCAAAGGCCAATTTTTCTCATCATAACATAACCAATCAGGGCCTTCCCACTAAAGTTTTGAATAACAAAGTTGATCAGGTGTACAGCCTCTTGATATTATGTCAGCTGGGTTCTCAGCAGACCTAACATGATTCCATTCATTTATCGCCGTTGATGACTGTATTTCTCCAACACGGTGTGCAACAAATGTTTTCCAACTGTTGGATGACGATTTTATCCAAGCTAACGTTATAGTCGAGTCAGACCAAAAATAACGTTTACTTACATTTAAATTTAATTTGTTCACGATTTTTTCTAGTAGCTGGCAAAGTAAAACGGCCGCACATAGTTCTAATCGAGCCAAAGAGATTACTTTCACAAGAGCTACTCTTGACTTCGCTGCGATTAGCCAAATACATGAAACATCATTGTTGTCAGTTGCCCTTAAGTACACACAGCATCCATATGCGTGAACAGACGCGTCGGCAAATCCATGAATTTGAACTGACTGCACATGATTACGTCCAATTGTACACCATGGTATTTCAATTTTTTCGATTTGCATCAACGAGTTCTTATAATTTAGCCATTCCTGCTGTAATTCATTTGGCAATAAGTCATCCCAACAACATTTCAATTGCCACAACCTTTGCATAATTAATTTTGCTTTAATAATTATTGTACCAATAAGACCGAGAGGATCGAAAATGGAAGCGATCGACGACAAGACCGCTCTTTTGGTTGTATTGTTGATGTTTGTTTTCTCGTACGCATTAAATTTAAACTGATAGCTGTCATTGTCAGTATTCCAACACAATCCTAATGTTTTTATTTTGTTGTCGTCTAAATTTAAAACGATTAGTGGGTCATTGTCATAATTTTGTATACCACTTAATAATTGTGGACAATTTGATGCCCACTTACGTAGTTTGAAACCGGCTGACTTCATTATCTCGATAACGTTATCGCGTAATTTAATAGCCGCTTGTATTGATTCGGCACCTCCCAGGTAGTCGTCCATATACATATCACTCATTATCACTTTATAGGCGTCTGGATATTGTTGACGATATTCATAAGCTAATTTTTGTAAACAACCAGTAGCTAAGTAGCTTGCTGGTGATGTGCCATAGGTAACAGTTTTTAGACGAAATTCTTCAATTGGCTGATCTGGTTGTGATCTCCACAGAATCCATTGTAAATCTTGGTGATCCTTGCTAACCCAAATTTGGCGGTACATCTTTTCGCAGTCCGCTGACAGTACATACTGATGAGTTCGAAAACGTGTAAGAATAGAAAACAAATCATCTTGTATTACTGGACCTTTGAACAGCACATCGTTCAAACTTAAGCCCGTAGTAGTAGCGCAACTCGCATTAAAAACTACGCGTAACTTTGTAGTCGCACTGCATTCACGTACTACCGCATGGTGGGGTATATAATATGGTTTTATATTTGGACTTACATTATTTGTTACTCTTTCCATATGACCCAGTCGCAAATATTCATACATAAAATTTGAGTAATCTGATTTCAACTTTTCATTTTTAAGCAATTTATTTTCAGATGATAAAAATTGTTTGAGCGCTGTTGCTCGGGAGTCTCCCAATTGCTTGAAATTTTTTCGCAAAGGTAAACATACCACAAATCGACCTTCCTCATCTCTAATTACCGTCTTATTAAAATGCTTGACGCAATCATTTTCTTCAGGGGTGATTGGGGAACTTATTATCTCTTCTAAGCTCCAACATTTTTCAATTTGTAATTTTAAACTCTCTTCTTCTGATCGAACTCGAGCATGAAAAGAGTGCAATGGTGTTGAGTTCCTCACGGGAACTGAACCCGCGACAATCCACCCGAATACGGTTTCTTTAAACAATGGACTATTTTCTAACGGTTTAATTTGACCAGTTTTTAGAGCTTCGAAAAATACTTCAGTACCAAACAAAATATCGATCTTACTTGGTACGGCAAACGATGGGTCGGCTAAATCTATGCCCTCTGGAACTTTCCAGGCGGTCATATCGACCGGTGCCAGGGGCAATTTATTTGTAATTTTCGGTAAAGTTAAGAATTCTAGCGGATACTGAGATGAACCTTTTGTTGTTTGTATTATTGTTTTTACTAGATAAGACGCTTGACATTTACACCTTCTATTGAATAATTGACTAACTTGCGTATCAGGCCTAATTTATTTGATAAATCGTTGCTGATAAAATTACACATTGAACCTGAGTCCAATAACGCACGAGCGTAAACCGGTTCCTCCGTCTTTCGAAATATTTTTATTACAGCTGTGGACAACAACACATTTTTTACAGCTCTCTGCGCGGCGTGTGTTGACACAACATTAAGTGTATCATCAACATCATTTTTACTATCAATATGAAGTAAATTATTATGAAAGTTACCACATTTCTTACACCCTTTAAATTTGCATTTATTTTCAGCATGTCGGGAAAGACAGTTCTCGCAAACACCACTCCTGGCAGCCTGCTGGTATCTTTCCGGTATCGACAACGCTAAAAATTTTGCACACTTATAAATTAAGTGTTTTTCTGAACACATATAACAAGATAAATTCATTGTTGCAGCGTGCATAACTGCCTTACGTGACAATACCTCTTGTGCACGTCCTTTTCAATTGAATTTTTTAAATCCTGGTTCAAGTTGTTTTTTAGAACTTTCAATAGCTTCGAGGACCTGAAATTTTTTTTCTAAAAATTCAATTAATTTCTCAACTTCAGCTACTTGAGTTTTTGGTGCTTCCGTTTCCCAGGCTTCCAATGTTTTTACATCTAATTTCGTTGTAATAATATGCAATAACATTGGTCCCCAATTCAAGGGATCATAACCTAATTGCTCTAAAGTTTTCATGATCCCTGTTAATGAATCCAAAAAGCGTCGTAGTTGCGAAGCTGATTCTTTTGTAAGAGGATCAAGGTCATAGATTGCTTTGGTATGAGTTTGTACAATAATTTTCGTATTATTGTACCGATCATTTAACTACTTCCTTGCTAAATGGTAATTTTTTGCTGTCATATTGTAAGATTGAATGGCTCTAGCAGCACCTGACTTTAAAGCTTTTTTTAAATAAAAGAATTTATGCACATCCGGCATTTGTTCATCCGAATTTATTAAAGTTTCAAAAAGATCCTTAAAGGTTGACCAATTTTTATATTCTCCGTTAAACTCCGGGATCTCTAACGGTGGTAACTTTTTAAAGGGTGCTACATTAACTCTCAAATTTGAGCCCTCTCCACTTAGGTCAGACATTAATAGGGGTGGAACCATATTTTGCAGACTTTGTTTTTCAATATTATTCTCCTTTACGTGCTTATCTATTATTCTAGCACAATCGGCCATTGCTTGAAAATAAGTATCTTCAAACTCACATTTATACGTGATCTCTGGTTCGATGTTGTCTACTGACATTTCGATCGCTGACTGAATTTTCTGAAAGTTTTGCCAACTTTCTTCCATTTGTTCTTTTCGTTGTTCGAGCTGTAAAATGTCTCCATCGCTTTGACATTTTTTTATTTTGTTTACAAATTTTGTGAGCCGAGTTTTTTCCACTCCCATCTGTATAAAGAGCGATGCTGTCTTTGATGCTATGCTCATTATTACCTAATCGAATTTTTTTTTTTTTTTTTGAACGAGTTCCGATAACTAAACTTATTGTTGCACCGTAGTTTGTTGTTATTTTACTACGGCCGGAAATTTCCCGTAACCAATATCACCGGCGTTGTATAATTTTATACAATTAACTTTAAATTTAGCAAATTATAACGGGTAAATTTTCGTAACCCTACGATTTATTTTACACACTTTTTTGCACTTAACAATTTTAACGCACTTTTTGGTCACAACTAATATTGATTAATTTAATAATTTTACGAACCACACGGCTAACGTACTTAATTTATTTATTATTTATAATTATTATAATTATTAATTAATTAATTTTTTAATTAAATCCAGTTTCGAAGGACCATGTTGAATTTCAGAGCGGGTATCTAAACTAAAATTTAAGATACGAACACTCTAATTAATTTGAAAAATTTACTTTATTAAACAGGAAGTCGGTCGCGCGCTCGTCGGTTCGACTGTAACTGAACGTTATCTATATTTACAATAATAATATCTCTACTTAGTACGTAACACCGACTATCATAAAACCCAACATAATCACCATTGATTCTGGATTACATGAACTAGTGAAATATTCGGAAAATTTGGATGACGTCATCAAAACTATCGAGACCACAGAAAAAACAATAGAATTCCCAACCAAATTTTGTTTTTTTAAAAATTGAATTAAAATATGTATAATGATATACTAATAGTCCTCATTGATTGGAATTGAGCTTTTTTTTTTTACAGCCTCGCAAAAGTTCAAAAATATGAACTTTTTTAATTTTCTCAAAAAATATTTAACTTACAAAAAAAAGTTTCGTACAAAAGTTGTTTAAAAGACAATTATAAACAAAAAAATTATCTTATATTTTTTCATTTAAACAAATATTTTTCGAGTTACATTACATTTAATATGAGTACTAAAATTTATATTCCATTTTTTTCATTTTACGGTTACTTTTTATCATGTTATACTTACATTAGACACAATGTTATAAATGCATATGTGTGTATGTGTGAGTTTATTTATTTATTGTATCATTAAAGTGTAGTGTATATTAATATACAAGCGATAGAGTAGGTAATTGATTTGACGCTATATTGTTTAAACTCAACTAAACGCTAAATTGTACATTCCTAAACAACAATCATATTATGTCAATTGCCACCGGAATTTCTGGTAATATTTTTCTTTTTCTTTGCCTTAATCCCAACTACTTGGGGTCGGCCACCCTTATCCTAAGCTTCCACTTGACACGATCTCCCACATCTTCTACGCTCACATCAGCTGTCCTCAAATCGCATTCAATAGCATCCCTCCATCTCTTTTTTGGTCTTCCTCTATCTCTTCTTCCTTCAACATTCATTTCTATAACTGTTCTTACAGCTTTCGATTCTTCTTTCCTCATACCATGACTAAACAATCTAAGTCTATTTTCTGTCATCTTATCCACGATTGACGCAACACCTATACTTCCTCTTATATGCTCGTTCCTTATACTATCTTTTCTATTCACTCTACTCATCCAACTAAGCATTCTCATCTCTGCTACACTTATTCTCTGCTCTACTTTCTTATCAACCGCCCAACACTATGAACTATACATCATAGCTGGCCTCACAATTTCATACTAAATTTAAAAACTATAATTAGTATTTATTCATATATTATATTTTAAAATCAAAGAACTACTAATCAGGATATAATTGAAGAAATAAGAGTTGATGTTGCTTTTGGAATAATCCACCAATTTCTCTAAATGAAACACTATCTACAGATTTGCATCGAAGCGTTTCTTATGATAGTGATTTTAATCACTGTCAAATATCATCTATACTTGTCCCATCTATGCCTCGTCCATACTGTGCCTCGACCCCACTGTGCTACCGTTTTTGTTTTTTTTAATTCATAAACATTTATTATTCATTATGTATGCATTGCTTATGATTGTATTCGGTACCCCAACATCCCCTTTTAATTATTAATTTTTTTTTAATAATAAGCGTTAGTGTTCTGAACAGACCTCGAGAACACGGGGANAGTGTTCTGAACAGTCCTCGAGAACACGGAGAATACTCTTTGGGGCCCCGAGACTATTCAAGAAGTCGACGACAGGGCCGGGCTTTTCATAGGAACCGCTTGGTAGCCGACTATTGAGAGCCCACACGAAGGAAGCTCCTCCAACGCTCAAAAGCTTGTGAATTAAGGAGTATGGACATCGAAGACCCAGAGGTTCTTACTACGACACTAATGCCCCTCCAAAATTTTTTTTATTTTTGAAATAATTTTTCTTTTCCTACGTAGGATTATTTTGTCTAAGTTCTTTTGTTTTGTTATTAAGGTCTAGGGTCAGACCTTAAGTGTAGGGGGAGCAGCTGATCACATTTGCATGTGCCCATATCTCTGTCTCCCATAACATCATTGTAGCGTTTAATAGATATATATATATATATATATAATTAACACAGTGACATACAACAATACTAACAGGAGGGCGGACTGCACACATAAACACTTTTTGCAATTCACGGCCAATGTGCCACAATAAGATATCCCTATCGACAGTTGACATTTTACCATCTTCGCGATCACTACTTTTGCCTGATAATTAACTTAACTTCGCTACCTGTATATTACAGTGTGTGTGTGTGTCGCCGTCAGCTCCCTGTTGGATTATATTATCTCTAGGTGTCCAGAAGGTTGTATTATCTATTTAATATTTCAATTGCTTAATAAATATTTATTTATATCGTTGTTAACCAAAAGTGTTATATATAGTTATATATATATATTGTAGTGCGACCCTTGGTAGTTCCTCTAAGGGAATATAAATTAAATAGGAAACTTCAGTACCTAAGGTAGATATAGCCTAGCCAACTATCTCCCGTTGGTCCCTTAGAATACTGTCGACGGGCATTTAAGCTCAACCCCTAAATAGTGACGTAACAGCGCTAATTATGTCCTTCTTTTCTTCAAAAAGTGCAGTGGCTACTTCCAACATACATTCTTTTACAATCTTTGCAATGACAAATGGCTTTTAGCGCTTATTTAATATCCAACATACACGTAATGCTGTTTTGATTGATTTTTCTTGCCCACTCATACTTCGAACTAACACAGTCGTAGTATTTTTGTAAGACAAGAGACACGCGTGGAGCTTATCTTTACGCGCTGCACTACCACAAGGAAACTTTTTATCAAAATCTTTATGCATTGTTTCATAATGTCGCTTTACGTTACTACTTTTGACAATAGAAACTGTATCGTTGCATATTAAACAATCTGGAATGACTACAATCCTTACTGGCGATGTGAAACAATATTGTTCAATCCACTCAGCTTAGAACTTTCTATTTTCATTATCAACTTTTCGTTTTTTGGAAATC